AGTGTGCGGATTTGGTTAATCTGTCGACGATTACCCAAATAGTATCATAACCACCCGAAGTCTTGGGTAAATTTGGTTATGAAATCCATTGTAATCCGCTCCCACTTCCATTCAGGGATTTCAGGTTGTTGTAATAAACCTGAAGGTTCCTGGTACTCTACCTTGACTTTGGCACAAGTAAGGCACTTGCCCACAAAGGTAGCGATTTCGGCCTTCATGTTAGGCCACCAGTATAGTTTCTTAAGATCCAGATACATCTTGTCTGAACCTGGATGAATGGAGTATCGGGTTTTGTGTGCTTCATTCATAACCACGTCTCTGTAGCCACCGAACTTTGGTGTCCAGATCCGGTTCATGAAAAAATAGACTCCATCATCCTTGATTTCGAAGTTCTTATCAATTCCTCTCAGAGTTTCACCTGCCACGTTTTCGGGTTTCAAGGCTTCAAGTTGAGCTTCTTTGATCTGTGTGGACAGATGTGAAGGGATTGTCATGGTCAACGAATTTACTCAGCGTCCCGAGTATTCTTTTCTGCTAAGGGCGTCAACTACTACGTTTGCTTTACCAGGGTGATAAAGAATTTCACATTCGTAGTCGTTAAGTAGCTCCACCCATCGTCGTTGTCTCATGTTCAACTATTTCTGATCGAAGATGTGCTGGAGACTTTTATGGTCTGTGAATATTGTGCATTTCGTGCCATATAAGTAATGTCTCTAGATCTTCAGAGCAAACACCACCGCTCCTAGTTCAAGGTCGTGTGTTGTATAGTTGACTTCATGCGTCTTAAGTTGTCTTGAGGCGTAGGAGATAACCTTTCCTTTTTGCATAAGTACACACCTAAGCCCTTGATTTGAAGCATCACAGTACACTACAAAGCCTTCTATCCCTTCAGGTAGAGACAAGATCTGTCACAACTAGCATTCTAGCTAGGAAATTTTGTACTCTTGTAAACATTATCTACTGTAAACTCGTAAACCCTAATTCATGTTATGCTTAAAGTTCAACCTATGGAAGCCCATTCAAACCTAGATTCATCAAGTAAAGTTGAAAACCCTAGAAATCCCGGTTTAAGTCCAACATGGACTAGGATTTCCTTATTGGGCCTAATGGGCCAATAAACTTCCAATTTGACTATGTTGGGCTCAGAACTCTTAAATGGGCTCTTATTTGGACTCACTTTCATGATACTTAACCCTTTTGGGCTTTATAAGACTAAAATGGACTAGTTTACCTTTAATGGGCCTTATTGGGCCATAACAATCCAATAAGCCCTAAAGAGCCACAAATCCATTCTTTCATGCAAGATTGGGCCGTAATCCACTCCAAAGGCCCAATGGGCCGAAAACTATCAATTTGGGCTTCGCTTTACGAAACTCAAACACTAAGGTCCAAATCTTTTCTCCTCTTTCTCTCTCTCTCTCGGCCCAAGTAGAAAACAAAAAAAAGTAGGGAAAAAGATGTAATTAGGGAGGGTTGACCTTGGATGTGCCACCTCCTTATTACACCCAATACCTCCATGCAAAAATCCAACATATATCCATGATAGTCATTTCATCACCTCTCTCTTTCCCTTCACTTTTCTTCTTCGGCCGAGAGCACAAGGAAACACACACGCTCACAACATCAAACTTCTTCCAAACTCTCTCAAGTATTCTCCTCCTTCCCACTCCAAAATCTCGAAATTTTGCTTGTGCACCAAGAGGATTTCAAGAGAATATCATCACTTCTTGGTAAGTTATACATATCCAAGGATTATATAACTCTTTTCTCATGATTAGATCCCTTCTCTTAAACATTTTTGGTAATCATACTCCTAGAATCACCTCAAGTTCGAGATCCACATCAAGGTGTTGCTAGGACCAAAAGTCTTATTCTTATCTTCTTCAAAAACCAAAACAACTAAGCAAGGTGAGTTCATACCTCTTTATTTTTGGTTTTCACATGTTTTATGGGGGAGAATACAAGTAAAATGTGTAGATCTATGTGTATTTGAATGTTATGTGTGATTTCTTGTGCTTATGTGGTAAATATGTGCCAAAAATGAAAGATATTTCGAGATCTATAGTTCAAGAAGGAAAAATATGTGATCTAGGATGTATTACACTTAACAAGTTAAGAAAAAGTACCATAAAAGGTTTATAATAAGCATGTTACAACATAAAACTCATTATTGGACTATTTTTGTCAAATAAACAAAAGTTGGGGAAAAAGTTGTCATTTACGGTTTTTACAAGGCTCAAAAGGTCAAAACAGTGTAAATAGAAGTTTTTATGAACATTATGCTTTTCAAAGGACTAAAAATGTAAATTGTAGCCTATTGGGCTAAAATTTTGGGCTTTTCGACCCATAGGCCCAAATTTGGGAAAAATATGGTTTTAAGGGGCTGAAATGGAAAATTTTCTCAAAACAGGGGCTATAAACGTAACTCAATTTTGTGCATCTATTTCCTTCTAAACATTAACAATATACAAGAAATTTCGTACACCAAATTGGTATCAGAGCCTTTTTTAAAATGGCATTACATTATAATGAAACACTTTACAGTGGAATTTTCGAAAAAATTCGTAATAAAGAGAATGAGATTTCTCAACGTAAAGAAATACTTTTAAGTAATAAAAAAGATTTAGTGCATATAAATTTCAGAATTCTACAAGCACAAAATAAACATACTCACGAATATATACCAACCATGGTTAATATACGTAAGTACCTCCTTCATAGGCAAAAAATGCATCAAGAACACCTTGATAAAGCTTTAAACTCAGTTTCAGAACTCAGAAAAAGGATTTTAACTTGTTAACATTTCTTAAACATGAATAAAGAAATTTTCAACATTTCTGAAGAAAATGATTCAGAAGAAAAACAAATCCTAACTTATGTTGAGGATGAAGACGGCTTCCATGCAAACCTCTTAATAAAACAAGACCTTCTCTCTCGAGTTAAGAAAACAGATTTAAAAATAAAGAAAGAAAACATTTTCAAAAATGTTCCTTCTAAACTTAGTATTTTAAATCCACTTAAATGGAAAAATGAAATTTTCTACTTTGTTAGTACTAAAGAAATGTCTGTAGACATAAAAGACACAATAGGAGCTGTCTTTCTACCCCTTTTGACTAAAGAACAAATAAACAATAACTTAAAAAGTATTCCAGTTGAGATTAGATCAAAAATAAGAATGGTCCATATCGGAGCCGTAAAATTTTTGATAAAATCCCAATTCCAAGCAGGAATAAATTCTCCCATAAAAATAGCCTTAATTGACAACAGAATTACAGACAGACAGGACTGCATCTTAGGTGCTGCTAGGGGAAACCTTGCTTACCAAAAATTTATGTTTTCTGTCTATCCAAAATTTGCTCTGGATTTGAAATCTGAAAATATAGATAAAACTTTATCTTTTATACATCACTTTGAAAGAAGTGACCTTATGAACCCAGGTGATAGACCATTCACCATAACCTATCTCATAGGATATGCCCTGACCAATAGTCACCATAGCATAGACTACAAGAAAGACGAGTACATCGAACTTGATGATGTCTTTTCAGAAATAGGCCATGTCAAAGATAAACAATTCTGCGACATAAATCCTCAAGAAAACTCTTGGGTTTTAAATATAGCTAGAAACAAAAAAGCTCTAGGAGAAACTCTTAGACCAAGAATTTCTATGGATTCACTCCATATAGGAGAAAGCTCAGAAAGAAAAGATAGTGACTTAATAAGAAACATGTCTTTAAAAATTGATAGTCTACGTCAGAATATCAAACAAATCTCTGAAGTAATAAATGAGTAACAAAATAGATTTTCCTCATTTTTATAAAAAAGGTAAAACAGTAAAAATTAAAACCCTTGACGACAATACTGAAAAGAAAGAATACGTTTTCTCTACTTCTGGAAAAGCTGGTATTCAAACAATTGAAAAATCATTGCAATAATCTCAACCAGATCATTGCAAGATGTCTCTTAAAAACTTCAAAAATAAGCCATTACCTTGGTATTTCAAAAGATATTTCTAAAGATATTTCAAAAAATAAAATACCTTTTAACCAATTTAAAAACGATTTAGCCATTTTGGTTAAAAACAATCTTGATAAAAATAATTTTGAAAAATTCTTCGAAGTTATTGAAAGACAAAATAAATTAACTATCAAGCTAACCCAGTCTATTGACAAACATTCTATTCTTTTAGAAAACTCTTTAAAAAACAACCATTTTGTTGAAGAAGTCGCCAAAAAGGCAAATATTGAAGGCACTCTTAAGGAAAACAACCTTAAGATCACTAATATACAAGAGCAGTTAAAACAACTGATAGGATGACCTCGATACCTGAGCTCAATAGATCAATCAACCTCCTTAATGAAAAAATAGATGGGCTGATTATAAACTTTGACTTAACGACCAATAAATACGTAACCACTACACAGTTAGAAGTAGCATCTGCAAAAACTATTGCAGACATTACTAAAGAGTTATCTGAAAAGATTGACTCTTGCCCTTGTAATAAAGACATTCTTGAACACATCAAGAATATTTCCATCATAGAACAAAAGACCAAACCTGGAAAATATTCAGGTCTTAAGAAATACTCACCTCCCAATCCTAGTATTGGAAACCCTGACTTAGGAAGCTCAAAAGACTCCCAGAAAATTGATATTTTCAAAAAAGAGCAAAAATGAAAGAAACAATCTCTGAGAAACTTGAGAAATATTTCTTTAACCTTCAATATGAAGATTATGATAAGGCTGACCAAAAACTTATTCAGCTTTTATCTTTAGAAACTGAAGAATGCGAAGAATTGTATCAAAAAGAACCCAAACTTTTTGATCAATATTTTAGAATGACTAAAATAGATGAACCTGATACTGAATCAGAACAAGAAGATAACTTTAAAACTAATACGAAGACTGTTAAGTTCGAATATTCAGATATGGAAGATGATGAAGCAGAATCTTCTTATACAACCGCAAGAAGAAGCAATAAAAAAGAAATATGAGTTCAAAATGCCTGTCCACAATGGTATTCCAGATAGTAGCAAAGGACCCAATACGATCAATGTACTCAATATTGATTGTATCCAAGATCTAAAACTCAGAGAAAGAGTTGTAGAAAAATGGGTTACTGAGATTTCACTAATCTTACAGACAAACCCAGAGGAATTTGAGAAAGCAAAAAATGTTCTTCTACTTTTAGAACACAAAACTGATGGAATTGTGCAAAAGTTCCTAAGAAACAATAATTGGAATGAAGATTTGCATGGTTCAGATCTTTTTGATAATCTCATAAATGTCCTATACACTACTTTCTTAGGTCTTGATTATATTTCTAATAAAGACTTTACCATTAATAAGAAAGTTGACGTAGCAAGAGTTTCAATGACAAAACTCCAATTACATGATATTAGTCTTCTCGACAAATACACATGTATGTATGAATCATATCTTTATGATATTCCCTAGAGAAGTGAATATGCACAATGGATATCTGCTTATCTCATGAAAATTCCAATTATTGGAGAAATCTGTACTGAAAGATGGAAAAAAGAAGCTACTGGAGAAATCCAGCAAACCAGTCTTTCTTATGCAACAAAAATTGCAAAGGAAGAAATTGATAGAATCTGTCAAGACAGATATAAACAACAAAAGCTCAAAACAATAAGTAAAGGTTGTTGTAGCATTCTCTCTGATTTCAAAAACTTTGATATTGGAAGGAAAACTTATACTAAGAAAAAGTATAAAAACAAAAAGAAATACAAATCTTTCTGGAAGAAGAAAAGAAGAAAATTTTCACCAGGAAAATACTTCAAAAAACCTTCAAAAGAATCGCCTAAGAATACTACTTCCTGTCCACAAGGAAAGAAAAAATGTAGATGTTGGATCTGCAATGAAGAAGGACACTATGCCAATGAATGTCCAAATAGAAAAAAATACCCTGACAAAGTCAAGGTTTTACAAACCGCTAATAATGGAGGATATGAAGCTCTTGAAGAAGAGTATGAAGGTATACAACATGTCTTTACATTTCATGTTGAAACTGATTCTTCATCAAATTCTGATGAAAACAAATCAACCACGGATGACTCAGACTAGTCTCATACAAGCTCCACTTTTTAGGGAGGAGGAGTTTAACTTGAACCTCCAGAAAATTGATAGTGACTCCCTTATCATGAATCTCACTAATCCAAACTCTATTTATGTTTCTGCCTTCCTTAACTTTAAAGGATATAAGAAATTTAGAGTACATTGTTTTGTAGACACAGGTGCATCCTTATGTCTTGCAAGCAAATTCATCATTCCGGATGAGCTATGGGAAAATGCTCCCAAAGAAATTAGTGCCACTATTGCAAATGGTGAAACCATAATAATAAATAAAGTTTGTAGAAATATTAATCTCGAACTCTCAGGAGAACATTTCAACGTTCCCACTATTTATCAACAAAATTCAGGAATTGATATCATAATTGGTAACAACTTTTGTCAAGTTTATGGACCATTTATACAATGGATAGATAGAATTGCCTTTCATCTTAATAATGATATGGTAATTATAAAAAAGGTTACAGAAGCCTATAGCAAAGGAAAACCAGGTTTTCTTAAAACTCAAGAAAATGGCTCTAAAGAAAAACAAATTTCGGGTACTAATATAACCCAAGAAGGAATTAATGAAGAAAGAATTATTTCTATTCAAACTACCAGGTTCAAACAGATTGAAGATCTTCTTGAAAAAGTTTGTTCTGAAAATCCTATTGATCCAGATAAAACCAAAGGATGGATGAAAGCTTCAATTAAGCTCATTAATCCCAAAACGGTTATTAGAGAAAAACCTATGGTTTACTCTCCACAAGATAGAGAAGAATTTTCCAAACAAATCAAGGAGTTACTTAATATGAGACTAATTATAGAATCAAAATCCCCTCATATGTCCCCTGCCTTTCTTGTCAACAAAGAAGCAGAGAAAAGAAGAGGAAAGAAGCGCATGGTTGTCAACTACAAAGCAATCAATGATGCAACTATTGGAGACTCACATAATCTTCCCAATATGCACGAACTTTTGACTCTTCTACGAGGAAAAAATATGTATTCAAGTTTTGACTGCAAGTCAGATTTCTAGCAAGTCCTACTTGATGAAGAATCGCAGCTTCTCACTGCCTTCACATGTCCTGATGGACTCTTCCAATGGAAAGTACTACCCTTTGGGCTTAAACAAGCTCCTAGTATTTTTCAAAGACACATGCAGAACGCCCTTCGAGGACTTGAAAGTTTCTGTACTGTATACGTTGATGACATCATGGTCTTCAGCAAAAATGAACAAGAGCACTATGTTCATGTTACACAGGTTCTCAGAACCATTTTAAAATATGGAATAATACTTTCAAAAAAGAAAGCTCATCTTTTCAAAACAAAAATTAATTTTTTGGGTTTAGAAATAAATGAGGGTACTCATTGTCCTCAAAGGCATATTCTTGAACATTTACATGACTTTCCAAATGTTTTAGAAGACAAAAAACAACTGCAAAGATTTCTTGGTGTTTTAACTTATGCTGAAACATATATTGAAAAACTTGCAGCCATGAGAAAACCTTTACAGGTAAAATTGAAAAAAGATGTCATCTGGAATTGGTCAAATGCTGATACAGACTACATCAAAAAGTTAAAGAAAGTTTTAATCAATTTTCCAAAACTTTATCTTCCAAACATTGAAGACAGTTTAATTATTGAAACTGATGCTTCTGATGAATTTTGGGGAGGTGTTTTAAAAGCTAAAAACCCCAAAAACGAAGAACAAATTTGCAGGTACGCTTCTGGCAGTTTCAAAGCAGTCGAGAAAAACTACCATAGCAATGAAAAACAATTACTCGCTGTAAAAAGAGTTATTACAAAATTCTCTGTATATTTAACACCAGTAAATTTCCTGGTTCGTACAGATAATAAAAATTTTACGTATTTCCTCCGAACTAAGATTGCAGGAGACAACAAATTAGGCCGACTAATACGTTGGCAAGAGTGGTTCTCACGATATACTTTCACTGTTGAACATCTCGCAGGAAATAAAAATGTACTGGCAGACTGCCTCACCCGTGACTTCAGGTATACCTTACATCATCCATGATCTTACTTGCTCCTCTCGAGCCCTATAAAAGGATATGATCCTCATGACATATTCCTCACAAAAAACTTCACCTACAAAAAAAAAAAGAGGGGGAGATTAGAGAGAAAAGTAAACAAAAATTGAGTTTACAAAAATGGAGGACCTCAACACTTTGAGGATAAAGAAACAAATGCTCCTCATTGAGCTATCTGCAATTAAGCAGAAAATCAACTTGTATGAACAAGTAACAACGGTCACGAATGTACCGGAAAGCGAAAGCTTAAAAACAAAGGCTATTCCAGTGCAAACGGCATCTGGTAAAGAAACAACAAATCCGTTGAAAGCTGATGCTTTGCTTAAAAGCATAATAAAGGAGACAACTACTCCTCTTCCAGAAGGAAAAACTAGCTTGTTGGTTAATTCCAACCCTTGTACTGAAGGAATCAGTAAAATGATAATTTTGTCACCCACTAACAAATCTGTGCAGGAGCTTAAACCAGATTACAAAAAGGCTCTTAACAAAGAATCTGAAAGATTCTATGTAATCTACAAAGGGCCACACGCCGGAATACATACAGATTGGGGAATTACAGAGACCTTCTGCAAGGTTGATAAAGTAACATGCAAAAAGTTCAGAAATGAAACAAGTGCACGACTTAGTTTTGCCACCTTCAATGACGAAGCCAATCAAACCAAAAAACCTCTTCTAAAGCCGAAAGTCCGAAAGATCAAAGAAGAACACAGAGACCAAAGATTTGACATCCCAAATGACGTTGAATATGAAGTCAACAACCCTGCAATCTCCTTTAAAGATTTCAGAATAATCTGGAGTAAAGCTAGAGCGGCATGCCCAGAAGATCTTATCCATGAGAGATTTTTCACTACAGATAAGAAAACCAAAAGTCTGTACAACTTCCTTGAAGGAGCAGATCCAAGATTAATCCAACAAGCCTTTTCAGCAGGATTAATAGACAACATCTATCCAAGCTGCAATTTGCAAGAACTAAAGTTCTTCCCATCCAGCATGATAGAAACCATTAAGAACTTCCGAAAGAAAGTTCTCAAAGCAAGAGATGATCCAATTTATATCAGAGTCATCTCCTCTCTTCCAGATTGGATTCAAGGAGCAACACTTGCCCCTTATCACTATCTAGAAATTGGCTTAGCAAAAGCCAAAAAAGACATCGAACAATCTCGACCAACGGAAGACAAAGATCTCCCGTTCGCAGAAATCCTTCATCAAAATCGTATCAACGGCCTTAGAAGAATTTCTGAAAAGATCATTGAGATAATCTTAGGATCAAAGAAAAAAGTTAATTATACAAATTCACACTGTATAATCACCAGCTGGAGCTATGGCAACACCAGCAACGAAGACCTTGAACGAGCATCCAAATTCGGAGAACAGTTCATGAACAACAACTTTGATGCATCCACCACTACAAGACAAATTTTCTGTAAGCATGCGGAGCAGTTGTTTGAAGACCATCATTGCAACTACTGCAATTGTAGTGATTCCACGACAAAGGAGGGTCCCTTCTCTGAAGATGACAAATCTTCATCATCTTAAAGAAAGATGCTTCATGCGTCAAATGGCCCCCACCACTCAAGAAAATAATGCCTCCTACATTATTAGAAGCTTTCCAGCTGTCCACAATAATGTAATCGTTAGTGGATAGAAACGTCATGCCTGACATAATAGGCAACTATCGGAACCTCTCGATATATCTATAAATTGAGAGTTATGTTTTCATTCCGGGGCATCGCAATAACGAGTGCAACAAAAACACTCTCTATCTTGTAAATTTTCAGTTCAATGTCTTGTGAGTAAAATCTCCCTTAGAAGGGAGAGATGTAAAATATTGTAGGAGTACTCCCATTTCGGGAGCTCTTTTATCAATAAATCTATGTTTTGTTATACTTGAGTGTTCTTACAAAATAGAGTCATGAAACCTGTAAGTGACAGAGTGTCAGGTCGACGATGGTCAACAGTACCACAGGCATGAGGCCAACAGGGAAAGCAACCACACAGACCAATGAATGACACAGGTTGGCTTGAATAGTTTCTATCTATTTAAGTAATACTCCTACTCCAAAACACTTATTGATTAATTGAGTTTTCTCTTTACAATTTTGTGCATCTATTTCCTTCTAAACATTAACAATATACAAGAAATTCCGTACACCAAATTAATAAACCTATTTCAGGGGTTAAAATGGCCTTATTTATAAAAAAGGGACTAAAAATGCAAAGATTTTGGATTTTGGGTAAAAAGTGTAAAAATTGCGAAAAGTGTGGATTTAAATGCAAACCTTCTAACTAAGGGGCTGAAATTGTCCAAAATAAAACTTTGGGCTTAAAACATTATTTAATTAAGTGTTTAGGCCAAAAATGTCAAGAAAAAGAGTTCAAGGACCTAATATGTCATTTTTTTATAAAAAGGGCTAAAAATTGCCAACTTTACCAAAATAAGGGCCGAATAGGTCAAACTAATATTTTTTGGTCAATTATGTTAATAATAAAATAATTGGGTCAAAATATACAAAACTTTATAACTTATGGGTTTTAAATAGAAAAATAACTATTTTTATAAATCTATGAATCGTTATAAAACAAATTCGTGATTATTACGACATATCGATTAAACAACTTCGCTACCAAATACTATACAAAACAAGTAAACATTCTAATGGTCGGGCTTGAGAGATTCTAATCATGCTTATTGGGCCTTCGTGACCCATTAACATGACTTTTGGGCCCAACATAAATAATACATGTTATTGGGCCTCCTGTGACCCAATTACATGCTTAAGGGACCCTCAATGGTTTTTACATGCTATTGGGCCTCAGTGGCCCATTAGCATTACTAGTAAGGTCCAAATAAATCATATGCGAAATGGGCCAACGCGCCTTTCGTATACTCGACAGCCTTAAATAACATATGAAATTAGTAAGGCCTAGTAGTCCTCTTCTCCTCGTCTGTTAGGCTTATCTTCACTT